GGTATGGAGGAAAACATTTTCTGGAAAATATTTTCCAATTTTTCCATGTTTGGTTGGTTTAAAATATTTTCCAAATTAACTCATTTTCCTCCAAATTAAGGAAAATGACTTCCCTTCAAAAATTAAGGAAAATATTTTCCAAATCAACTCGTTTTCATCCTTTAATTTTTTTTCTTACCCTACCCATACCCCATACCCGACCCTCCCTACTCAGAAAAAAAAATTCAAATATATTTTTATTCCTACCCCCAAACCAGCCCACCCCCCCCCCCCCCCATCAAACAAAAAAATAAGAATTATTTTTTAAATGTTTCAAATTTTAAGCTTTTTTACCTCACCCAACCCCCTACCCCCCCTCCCCCCCAAAAAAAATTGCTTTTGAAAAAATTTCAAATTTAATTGTTAAATTTTTTTTATGCCACTCCCCCGCCATCCCTACCAAATTTTTTTTAAAAGACATTATTTTTAAAAAGTATTTCAAATTTTAAAAAAAAAATCATTTTTAAGCCACCCTACATCCTACCCCCCCCCCACACACTACCCCCACCCAAGCCACACCCGTCAATTTAAAAAAAAAAAACTGTTTTTGAAAAATATTTCAAATTTAAATTTTTTTCATTTTTACACCCCCCCCCCCCCCCCCACTATCCGGCCATTCCCGTCAAAAAAAAATTGGGAAATATTTTAAATTTTTAAAAAATCATATTTTATTTCACCCCTACCCTTACCCCACCGACCCAGGCCATTCCCGTAAAAAAAATTAAGAAAAAATTATTTTTAGAAAATATTTCAAATGCTACCTCCATCCCTATAAAGAGTGTATTTTAGTCCCAAGCCAACAAAAAAAAAAAGATATTTTCTGAAAAATATTTTTCATTCACCAATCAAACATTAAAACATATTTTCTAGAAAATATTTTCTACTCTCCAACCAAACATGAGAAAATAAGTAAGAAATTGTCACACCCTTAACAAGAAAGGGGCAGACATCAAGGATATACACAAGCACCTGCTAAATATCTTACTAATCTCATGCCAAAGTTGAAGATTCATAAGCTGCGGAACCTATATGAAGACACATACTAAAACATAGATAACAAAAGGGCCCATTGGACTACTTTACAACGGAAACAAGACTAAGTCTACGAAGCCTCTAAAGAGTATGCCTCTGAGAATCTGATACCTAGTCGGGACAGGGCGCCGACATGCCCATTCTGATATATGTATATATGTAGCAAAATATAGGCTCTAAATATCTGATAGCTCCAAGTAGAGGTGGAGCTTACCAACTGCTAAACTGGAAGTCTCTAGTCTAATGAAAATGCTTGTTGTCCTGAGTACCTGAGCGTGTAGTGATAAAAATGAAACGCCAAAATAATAGGGACGTCAGTACATACAAAACATGTACTGGTATGTAAAGCAAACTGAATAACAAGTAGACATCAATATCATGATAGGTAAATCTGAGCATGTGTATGCAGGAGACATAATTCGTAACTGGAATGGTGACCAACCTCAAGGGTCCTCATCAAACGTTTCATGGCTTAGTCATTTATATATATATATATATATAATCCCTTTAATTTGCCTAAAGCGAAATATTACTTCTTTTCTCTTTGTAAAGCTAACTATCAGGGAATCACATGATGGCCTACTGACGGCGATTAGTGAACCCTGTATGGCATCTGTAGCCCACTGTCACGACCACGCGTGAAATCTCACAGTCTCGTAACGAGGTCTATCAAGGTACTCCCCCCAGGGCTCCTGTATGGTCTGCCCGCAAAGCTATATCAGTCAGGTGAATCCACGATGGGAAATTCCAGCTGAATATATCTAAATTATGTGCACAGAGTTGCATCGCACGTAGTAGCCCTAAATATACCCACCATACGTTGCAGAGTAGTATATAGTCTCAACTGCTTGCAATTGTTTATAATAATTAATTCATTAATCACATAGCTCGTGATACAATTCGTTATTACATTCTTTATCTTCAAATTATATATCTTGTGACTTATGCACTTACGAACAGTCTGTGGCTGGTTGCTTTCTTTAAATTTATGCAACATGTACACCGCTAACTTCTAAGAGTTCCAACTATAGACAAATGTAGTTGTGTGAAACATATTGCTTCCTTGAAGAGTATTATAACTCTATAGGTTTAGGACTCAACATGAGAGGGTTTATAAAATAGGATAACTTTCTTTCAAGTATCATAAAATCTATAGTGACATTTATCGGAAGAACATGCGAGTTTAGGTCGTGCCTTAAGGGCAAAAGAGGTTTTAGCTTTACGTACCTTAATTCGAGACTTACTATCTTACGTCATCAAACTCCTTTGCTGACAACTTTATCTATAACATAAAATGATAAAAGGATAGTATAAGAAACTAATCAAGAGTCACAACAATGCCAAAAGCACAATAATGGTTCGCGAGCGACAATCTCAACAATTACCATAGATGAGTGGTGTATTACCACACCCTTCTCTTTCTCTACTTTCCAAGTAGGCTTATGAATTATTTACATGTTCTGTATTACTCCTCATCCTTTAACCATAAAGAACCAGCCCCCTTAATCATCCACACTTAACATAAAAGTAAAACTCATGGCCTCCGATCACCATCCCACCGGTTCCTTGTTAACGATGTCAAATTCCTTTATAAGCTCATAGTTTAAGTTGGTAGAGAATTAATGCCATAAATTTAAATAATAGGAGCTCATATAATCAACTACAACATATTCTTAGTGACTTAGGAATTTCATCAAACACTTGGTGAGCGACAAAGTTTCAAGAACTATAATAGTCGCGTTCTCTATACCTCGCCTTCCGTTTTAATGTAACCAGATTACTTCCCCAATACAATACCATTGACCCCTCATTTGGTCAAAACAACAGCCCACACAACCTTCTACAAACTCCCTCCTCACCAAAACATCAAATACAATGAGTAAAACATGGACTCACGGCTTCTTATCACCGTCCCGTGAGTCCTACCCGCAAATTATACTTAAAGCATCCTTGGAATACTATTTATGAAGATAGAAGAGGATTCATACCTATATATCAAAGAAAAGAAGCCCCTGCCCTTCTTTATTCTCCAAGAACAATACTTTTTCCTTCAAGAAAATATTTAGCTAAGTATATCTATAGGTCTATGGAGTGGAAGACACTTGATTCTTGAAGAAACCAACTTACCTTAAGCTTTGGTGGATTGAAGATGAGAAAAACTTGAAGAAATAACTTGAAACCAGTCCTTACACGTTCTTGAGTATATGAGAAAGTATATCCCTAATTTCTAATAAAAAAACAACAAGTTTGGCCGACTTTCTCTAAAGTGTCGCATGTCCCGCAGTGATTGAGCAGTGCACGCGTCTGTCGTAGAATGAACATAACTTTTTACTCCGATATCGTTTTAACAAGCGATTTATTTTGCTGGAAACTAGACTCAAATACCTTCAATTGGATAGGTTGTTGGCCCTCTAACTCATTATATATTAGGAGATATGCTCGTTCAAAATCAGATGAGAAATGAGATCATTTGTAGTATTCCTCCACGATGAACCTTTAAACTTTAATCTTTTCTTTAATGATCTCTTTGACCTAAAACTTTTGTTTAACCCTTCAAATGACTAAATATAAGGGTTACATGGTATGCCTAACCATTTTCAATGATATACCTCCCCCAATATCACATCTATGCATTGGTGTTTACGAGTCGCAAATATATTTTAAATTACGAGATATTACAGTGCACATGTTTTCCAAGAAAATATTTTTCATGAAAAACATTTTCCTTCATACCAAACACTCCCTTAAGTGTTCAACTTTCTTTTTTGTGATTTTCTGTTCTAAACTGCGCCTTAATTAGTCCCTTGGAACCCGTGCCCCATATCCCCTCTAGTCCTAAAACACTTAGATAAACCTATGGGAGAAGTCTAGATTAGGAAAAAACGAATGTAATACTCAACAAAACCAGATGAGTTGTTATAAGGGTAATGTTTTTTCCCTTGAATTTTCGGTTGGAAATTTCTTACGACGAGCCAAACTCTGATGGGTCATTCATCGGAAAATATCTTTTTTCTTGATAGTTCACCAGCATTCTTATTTCAAGACATAAAATAGGAGGGAAATTTAATCCTAAGTTATACAATATTATTATGATGAATATATAGAAATGTACCAACCAAAAATTAAGCCACCAGTAATTGTTACAGCCATGTGGCATAGGCATTAACAGGATAATGTCAACCTTAAAGAGTTAAAGTTATAGGTTAACCTTATACCTCAACTTGGCTCATATTCTATAATTATATTAGTGAATATATATATATAAGTCAATAAGCAAAACTGATTATAATTGAGGACTCATAAAACTCATGGGACCGCCTCTAGGTATCACTACAACAAAAACAATTTTTAGCGGCAATAAATAGACACATTAATAAAGAGTGCTAAAGTATCTACTGGTATTAGTTAAGTGTCATTAGATTCAATGTGCTAAAGGCTTTAGGGACATACAAAGAGTGTTAATTGCCGCTAAAAATACATATTTAACGGTAATTGAGCTATTTCTGTTAATTAATTGTCGCTAAATATCATTTTTATGTAGTGTATAGAGATAAGATGTAACAATGATTGGCCTTTTGTGATGAGTATATAAAATAGTATGCTCCTTTGAGTATAGGGAGAAAGTATATGTATACCTACAATTAAATATGAAACCGACTAACATAAATAATAAAAAAGGAAAAAGAGAAAACACAAACACATATAAACACACACATGGTTGTGTCTGGGTCCGAATTAAAGATTGACACTTGGCCACCCAAAAGCATTGAGGTGCATATTCTTTTCTGTTCTTCTTATATATATATAAGTGTGGGTATTTCTTAGAGAAAAAGCTGAGAGTAGAAGTTAATTCCCTAGCTCTTTCAATTCACAAAATATTCCGTCTCCTTTCCTACTTTAGAAACATTTTCAATTATATATTTGTCTCAATGGAGAGTGAAGGAGGGAACTGTAGCAAAAGCATAAAACAAAATGAATCGGTATTGAAGGAAGATCCGAAATCAGCCTACCTATTGATATTTCTACAAAAGTATTACCGATCTGGTTTTCTCAAAAAGGTATTATTAGACTTATTATTTTTTTGTTTTTAGATTAAAATAGTATTCCGTCAAAATGTTATGTTAATTGAAGAAATGAATGATGAATAAATTTGTAGGTGATAGCAGAAATAATAGCTACGTACCTATTAGTGTTTGTGACATGTGGTGCATCAGCTCTTAGTGGGAGCGATGAACACAAAGTGTCAAAGCTTGGGGCGTCCGTAGCTGGTGGACTCATTGTAACTGTCATGATATATGCTGTTGGACATATATCTGGTGCCCATATGAACCCTGCTGTTACCTTTGCTTTTGCCGCCGTTAGACATTTCCCATGGACACAGGTACGCATGCACGCTACGCCTTCTTATTAGTAATAAACTGTTCCTTTAACTTGCCTATTTCATACCCTTTACCCCTCTACCTCCCCACCACCATCTCATCATAAAAATATGTTTATATATATCCACCTGGGATTTTTTTATATTTTTTTAAAAAGGCTCTTATTTACCCCTTATATTCTAAAGAAGAAAGATATATTTACGCTTACCATTCAACTTTAGGCATATATTTGCTTTTGGGTTGTTAAATTTCATTACCGCACTTTTATCATCTATGTGGCGCGCATACATCGCCATAATTAAAAAAAATACTCTATTTAATATTCTACTCAAACTAATCATTAAAATCCGACCCACCAAAGTATAAAAACCCATTAAATCTAACTCTTATATCTTTCACCTTGTTGGGTTTGAAAGTAGTCGGGGTATCATGTCGAAGAATACAATTGCAAATTATATTGGTGATAAATTAGATGACTAAGAAAAACTATATATTATGGATGCTCTTGTGCAGACTCAAGAAGTCTTTTCTATTTTCCAAAGATTTTGTCTGAACTGAAAAAGTATGATGTCAAACTATAGTCAATAAATCTAAATAAGATATAATAAAGATTATATAGTTTAAACTTAATTATTCTACCAAAACTTTTTATTTTATTTCACTAAAAATAAAAGAACTCTAACCAATATTTTTTAAATAGATTAGGCCCGAAAAGAAAAAAAATAGTTCAATTAAATTGTGATTGCTTCAAAATAAGAAATAAAAAATTTACATCATGGCAATTCCATTATTTTGATTAATTTTATGTGACGAAAAATAAGATGAGATTAAAATTACACTGTCAATTTATTTTTAGAAATACACATTCAAAACAAATATTCATGATATCTAAAGATGAAATACAAAGATGGTACTTCATTATTTTTAACAAAAAGTAATTTTATTTTTGGCTAAAATGATAGTGTTAGAATCGAATAATTTTCTCTTTCAAATTGGCCTGAAAAAATGTACATTTTTTTGAATAAATTGTTAGGAGCTGATTTTTAGTTTGGTTTTTTTTCATTCCTACATACCTGAAAGAGGGCGTATTCACTCTCATTGTCACATTAACGTGCAAGGGTAAAAATTGTCGAATAACCAAATTTCAAAATGTAATTACGAGCCCGTTTGAATTGGCTTTAAAATATAACATTTAAAAAGTAATTTTTTAAAGTGTTGAAAGTTATTTTAAAAATAAGTAGTTATATGTTTGGATAAAAGTGTTGCAGTTGAAAAAACATTGTTGATGTTTTTGGCAAATAAGTGTTGTTAAACACTTTTTTATTAAAATGTCTGAAATATCCTTAAAACTGTTAACATAATAAAAAGTTGATTAATCTAAGGATCTTATTTCTAAGAAAAATTAAATCAAAATTAATTTATATTTTAATTCAATTTCAATAACTTAATATTTAAGTTAATTTTAAATGTGCAACTTATTTTAAATTTCAAAAATATATAATTTGAATAGATCACATGAAAGAATTTGGGAATTGTTTAAAAGAATTAAGGGTAAAAAAGTAATCTACTTGGTCAAAGTAGATGACTTTTGAGTTAAAAAAAAGTAGGGATCACCCTACTTTTAACTTTTGACTTATTTTAAGTTGTTCTTATAATTGTCAAACTCTCTTACAAGTCAAACACTGACTTTTAAGTCAGTTTGACCAACTTAAAAACTCATTCAAACGGGCACTAAAACTATTATTACTAGTAATATTTTAAGAAGACTTGAATAAAACACATCAATTTTAGGATTGTCTTTAGACCAAACAAAACACATCAAATTGGTGCTCGGAGGAAAGCAAATAACACTATTAGAGAAATTTTGAGAAATGTGCGCATAAAATACCTAAAAAAAATTATCTAGACACATTTATTCAAGTACATTACAATTTGGACATAACTTCAACCTGCATGACAACACTTTTCTCTTTTCTTAAACATAGTACTTCTACTAGTATATTTTTATATTTAAAAATAATTTTACTATGAACTTTCTAGTCATAGTTATATAACCACAAATATCATGACATTGATATTGTTCAAACATAGAGGCTGAAAAGTTTTCAATTTTATGCTAAATAAAATAACACTAGATGAAAAGGCATATAGGAAAAAATAAAAGGGACAGAAATCATTAATATGGCTAAAATGGCTTGCATGTTGAATTTTATAAGTCTTTTCCTTACTTCTCTTAACTTAAAAGACAAATTCAAGATTGAAATTTAATTGTGTTTCCAAAAACAAGGTACAAATTGTGTAGTAGTTAAGTATGTATTATCTCTCAATATAATAGAGGAATAAAAGATGTGCGGCATGAAATTAGCAATACTGGGCTATAGTTTGTCCAGCAGATGAGCTGATACACATGCACCTGCTGATTTTGATAGGCACATGACAATTATGAAAGTCATAATTCTTTCTATAAGAATAAAGAATAATAATAACAATAATTTTTCATTATATCTCCCATAATTAATGTCATAAATTCATTCAATTGCGGGTTGTTGCTCCGTCATATTCACTATATATATACATACTACTAGTTGCAAAAACTAATTCATTCAATTTTTGTTCCGTCGTATTAAGTATATATATATATATATATACTAGTGGTGAAAACTAATTCATTCAATTGCTGGTTGTTGGTCCATCATATTCTAAATATCAAACTATGATTTTTAAATCTATAAATCAAATCAAATTAATAAAATTTGGATTTTTCAATCTTGGATATTTTTTATACAAACATATAACTAACTTGTGTTCCAAATATTTCTTTAGTTCCACTGAAATACTGAAATATAACTATCTAAGGCGTTTCTTAAGAAAATAACACAAATATGAGATGAGTGATGACACTAAAATATTAAAGTAATAATTAGGTCACATAAAATAAATATTACAAATTAATAAGTCATAATGAAAATGAACGTAATTCAAAAGTACTAAATAATCATGCTAAAATAAGTCTGACAAGTATTAATTACATGACTAAATAATAAAGAAAAGTTAAAATTAGATTATGTATTTTAACCGATTAAAACAATGTAAACTAAAGAACAAATATTCGACATTATTGTCATTCTTAGTGGTCAGTTGATTTTTAAAAAAAAATATTAGTATTGATTTGATTTTGATTTGAGCTCCATTAGAGTTACTAACATTTATGAACTATAACATTTATTGGACCATCCAAAATTCTAAGTTTCAAACTTAAAATAATATGTTTAAAGATAAAAGCTATGAAAAAGTATAAGAAATATTTAGAAATTATATCAAAGAAATTTTTTTTTTTGTATGAAATAAACCATAACCTACCTCTACTGAAGAGTCAATGTCAAGTATAATTATGTGGTGTAAATAGGTACATTTTTCAGGCCAATTTGAAAGAAAAATTCACAATATCACTTAATGACTATAAATCACTATTAAGAGTCTATCTATCACATAGAATAAACAATATTTTACCTCTACCGAAGAGTTGATGTCAAGTAAGCTAATTCACCTATGTGTTTCCTTTCTTCAATGCCTCAGATGATTTCCAATGTATCAATTATGCAAAATTTATAAGTAAACGAGTTTATAGACACTCATATTACTATATGTCTAGTCTAGATCCAATTACTCTCCCAAATCTATAATCAATTTCCTAATGTTCAAGCCTAAGGTTAAGTCCCAATACCTCCAATTAACATAACTTTAATGGAATTCATATAATATAATATACCTAATATTTAATTACCTATCTCAATATACCATAATTTACTTTATAACATGATAATTAAAAACGAATACTAATAAAAAAATAAAAGCCAACTGGTTACGAACCATTGGCGAACCATGTTAACTTTTAACATTGCACCATAACCAACAGCCTACCCAATTGCACCTTAATTTAGTGTTTAATTCTCATTTTTCTTTAACCCATCATCATCACCCAATTACTAACTTCCACGCCTAACACCACAACCTTAGCACTTTTCTATGACCCTTTAAGCTTCCACCTTCAACAATATATAAAATAATGGATACTACCTATTTAACAATTCCAACATACTAAAGTAAATGAATTCGTGAAATATCTACCTGATGCACAATCGTTTCAATTTGGTTTTCGTTCCACGCCGCTTTCTGTTCTTTTCCTCTTCCCCTCTTTTCTTTTCTAAATAAAATAATTGTGTATTAAAATTGCTAAATTATATTATTTTATTTTAATAAACATATGCCAAGTGATATAAGTTATTACATAAAGAAAAATTTACTTGGATAAGTACCTTTTAATAAATAATTATTGATTTTAGCGATACTTTTTATTTATTAACATTTATAGCAATACTATGTTAAATCTGTAATATGTATTAAAAATGAATTAAATATGCAATATATATGTATTATAACTGTTTTTTAAAATATATTATGCTTGTTTGGTAAGAAATTGACACATTGTATTGTAAGTGTATTAAAATATGTGATAAATATATTATCCATCAATAAAACTTGTATTATATATGAATAATAAAGTGTTCTTTGTAATATGTATTAAAACTGTATTAAAACTAAATTAAAAGTGATCAAGTGAAAAAAAAATGTTATTACTATAAATGGTAAATATTTTTTTAATATAGTTTATTTATGTAAGTTTCCCCCATAATAAATTATCAACTTAGCCCATTAACCACTAATTAAATCAATTATTTAAATTACCCCATTAATTATATAACTATAATTAACCAATAGTCCAAAATAATCATTTAAAATTTAATGGAAGAGTCAAAATAGTTCTAGTACTCAAAATGACCTAACAGATTGTTACAAAAAAATATAATAAATATAATTATAATAATAAAAGAATTTGAAAAGTTAATATAGTGATATTGAAAGTGTTGTGTTAAATTTGATAAGTTGATACTATGATTTTGAAAAGATGTTAGACTTCTTGTTGTGCTTGAAATTTGTAAAAGATATACCAGAAAGTAAATTTTATATAAACATAAAATAATAGATTGTGCATAATGTAGGAAGTTTGACCATTGAGAGGCTTCAGAATATTTAATAATAAGAGAATAAAAATAATGAAAGGAAAATGAATGAAGTATATATAAGGATAATAATGTCATGTTATTCGTCAGGATATAAACAAGACAACATAATAGGTAGCAACATAAGAAATGATAAACTACAATTAGCTAAATATTATTCTATTTTCAATTGTTTCGATCATTCCTATATTAAATAAGATAAAAAAAAAAGTTATTATATTTTCCACTAAATATTTCTTTTAAAAAATTTAACATATGAAATATAAAATATAGCTTTAAGAAAAAGTGGGGCTCCAAATTTAAGACCCCAAATATTATCTTAATGGCCTTATAATCGAGTCATCCCTGATTAGATATTTTTAAAATTGAACCTACCTTATATTAGGAAGAACAACACAACAAATCATGGCACATACAACTAGATTAATGTAACGCTTTAAGTCATAAGCATCCACTTAAAAAATTTCATAAAATTTATTTATTTATTTATTTGAACTAAATTATGTTTCTATTAGCTAGGCACTTAAATTGTAGAAAACTTATAGATATTAGACAATTTGTAATGACATAACAAAATGTATAAAATAGATTCAAAATATTATTTGTCACGATCCAAAACTAGTCATGAATGGCACCCACACTTAGACTCCTAGGTGGGCGAACCAACAAATTCAACCCCAACTTACGAAATACAAGCATAAAACGGAAGCTCAAATCTTATTATATATCGTTTCCCAAAACCTGAAAATCATCACATTAAGGACATCTAATCTCCAAATACTAAGTCTAAGAGTATCAAAGACACCAAAATAAATAAATAAAATAGTTTATGCCCGAAAACTAAGGACATCATGCCATAACCGAGAGAATCGAACACAATCTAAAATGAATAGCTCACCCTGGAACCTGATGTGCTGGAGACTGACTAGAGTTGAGGGCGAGTCGAAGTCACTAGTACACTCACTGCACTCCACAAAAGGAAAACGAAGAAAATACAAGTAGGGGGTCAAACAGGGCCACATGTACTGAGTAGGTATCATCGGCCGACTCAAAATAGAAATCAATATGTATAAAGTAATAACATGAAGTCAACTATAGCACTTAGCAGGGACAAGCAACAACCAACATGAATAAGTGACAACAACACTGAAACAAGTACGAATCAGTCCACAATATCGAGAACACACATGAGGACTCATGCCTCCTCACCACTCTCTTTTGGGAATTAGGTTCTTTGAGATTGAGTATATTAAGTTACTTTAATATATGTTCCTTTAATGTTACCATGCCTGAACGTAAGACCCGATCCATATCGTGTCGGAACGTGACACCCGATCCAAATATATTGTGTCGGCTCGTGGCACCCAATATATCGTGTCAGCTCGTGGCACCCAATCCAAATATATTGTGTCTGTTCGTGGCATACGATCCAATAATATCGTTAATTCATCATTCTATATCATCTCTTTCAACTTCCTTAACAATATTTCATTAAGCCTTATTTATTCAAGGCATCACTTTAATAGAACAAGTTCAAGATTATAGATTTCATGGTCTTGGGAATACAGACCAATCACAAACAACACCTGAATTATCCAAACAACAACAAGCAAGTACATAAAAAAAAATCATAATATGACTCAATGACTATCAATCACTATTAAGAGTCTATCTATCACATAGAATAAACCATAACCTACCTCCACCGAAGAACCAAAGTCAAGCAAGTTATAGCTCCCCAATGCTTTTCCTTTCCTCAATGCCTCAAAATGTTTCCAATCTATCAAGTATGCATTATTCATGAGTAAATAAGTCTATAGACACCCATATCACTATAATCACTTTTCTAAATTTTGATGTCAACTAATATGTCCACTCTCGTATTTCTCAAATTGTAAGCCTAGAATTAAGTCTTAATTTCTCAAATCATAGTAACTTTAATGAAACTCATATAATACAATATCATAATATTTAATTATCTATCTTAATATATCAAAACTTGATTTATTATATAATATCTTTCAATGAAATTTCAACCCAACACACAAGTTTGCTGGTTTCCTTAAAAGCAAGTGAAAATAATTAAATATAGATGGCAAGTTACCCAACTTAACCAAAAAAATCACTTTTTAGTCAAATGATGAAACACGTATACCTTTTGTAAAGGGAAATATGAGAATTGTTTATTTTATTTTATTTTGTGAAAGCTTATACTTATCCAAAAATTCATTACCAATCCAATTGTATAAATCCACGCTATGAGCAATTTTCCCAACTCCAATCTCCTTTCAATCATAAGTAATCAGCCAAATCACCCTTTCCCAACCAATTTACATGAGAATTAAATAGTTTCCCGTATACGAAAATTAAACTTAAAAATAGTTTTACCTGATCAAGACGTGCGGCTGCTCTCGTCGTCTACATGTAAGTCCTTTTCTCAATTTGTTTTTAATTATTTAGGGCAAAAATTGTGAACTAATAAAATATTAAATTTCACTAATTTCTTTCTACACATGGGTCATGTGGTATTAAATAAATTATCTATTTTGTCCATTAGCATCAACTAATAAAAATTAATTATTTTATAAATACCCGCCAACTAAATAAACATAGTTATACAAATAGTTCAAAATTACCATTTAAAATTTACGAAAAAAGTCAAAATAGTTCTAGTACTTAAAATAATATAACGGATCGTTGCATTATTTGGCCAAAAAACTCTTTTTATCTTTGTTCTCTATAATATTTTCTTACCACCACTTCAACTACCGCACATCAAATGTCATCGCCGCTGCCACCACCCTTGTTTCTCCGGCAGTTCACCACCTCGTTTGCCTCCAAATCTAATATACTATTGTTCTTCCTCCTTAGCTTTTAAAATCAAAACTTTACAATAACTTATTTGCCCCAAACAAATAGAGCGACCCATTTTTTATACTTTTGATATCAAAGTGTCTTAACATGTACAAATTTCAAAGAGGAATAAATTCTACTTCAAATTTCTAAATGAATTTTCTGGATAATTTTAAGGGTTGTTTCTGACTTATTCCTGAGTGTCAATTTTTACTACATATACTCTCTCTGTCCACTTTTATTTGTCATATTGCGCTTTTCGAAAGTCAATTTGACTAATTTGCAAAGTTAAATTAACTTTTATTAATTTGATATTTTAAACAAAAATTTAGATACTCAAAAACTACACGAAGAGTACTATAAATTGTAATTTTTCGCATATCAATATGATGAAAAAATATATTTAAAATGTTAGTCAAAATTTTTATAGTTTAACTTTAAAAGAGGAAGTTATAACAATTAAAAGTGGACGGAGGTAGTAATAATTATTCCCGTATAGGTTTTGTTCATGACGTAATCTCTTTCTCCCTTCCATAAAAAGGTTTGGGCTTTTCAATTTTCTTTTCCCCGTCACATCAAAAATTCGAATTTCGTTTCTTTTCCATTGCTTTTCGAAACCAAACAACATAATTTTTCATCCAAAGTAATATTTTCTTTATCCTAATTTACGTGGTACAATAAAATTTTTATTGTAAATTCAGATATATAATCTTTAGTTAAGTTTTTTTAAAATTATATAGAAATTACTATAAGTTATAATAATTAATAACAACAATTAAAATATTTTAAAAAATAAATTAATTTGTTCTCATAATTGCAATTGTGTTACATTATTTGAGACGGAAAACACTACTAATTAATAATTGAAAGGGATATATGATAAATCCATTAACGGAGTTTGTGAATCATCTAAATTAAGTAAAAGAAAAGGAGAGAAATGCAGAGAACTCTAAAGAGTAAAAACAGTTACATTGATAATACATTGATAACCAACTAATTATACATGAACAACTAGATACTGTATTTTTAGACCATACAGTGTATTATGTTTTATTCCTAACTAACTCTAACTGATTTTATTGACTTATCTAACCATGGTAGCTTGTTAATCTTTCACTCTGCCACTCAAGCTGATGGTTTGAGAGCCCTGACCATGTATAAAATAGTCATGTGCTTTTTTTCAGCCACACCGTTCTGTTGTGGTGTATATACACATATACTTTGATGAAATATGTCAAAACTAACCATAGATTGATAAGCAGTGCTAAAAAGTGAATCACTGCCATTAAATTTGCATTTCAATTCTCAATATAATGGTTTTCTAGAATTACTACACAAAGAAAGAGGTAACAGGTAGATAATTTGGAATGTTGTTTGTAAAGGTGCCAGTGTATGCAGCAGCACAAGTTACAGGAGCAATATCTGCTGCATTCACGTTGCGTGTATTACTTCATCCAGTAATTAAACATGTGGGAACTACAACTCCCTCAGGCTCAGACATTCAAGCTTTAATCATGGAAATTGTCGTCACATTCTCTATGATGTTCATCACCTCTGCAGTTGCCACTGATACCAAAGCTGTAACTATTTTCTCTTTCTTATAAGTTATAACTAATTCACTTTTTTTGGACTAATTTTTAAGTAATTAACTTTTTATGATTATATAACCTTTTACTCGGCTGACATGCACTTCCACACTCAAATCATTTTTTTGAATGTTTAAATATTGTTATTTATAACATGTTTTATATAGTTTTTAAATATGTTAATTTTATTTTAAAAAATATTAAATTTTATAATTAAATTTATAGTCAAAATTTTAAAAAAATTATTCTCAAAAATTAAGAAATTTTAGACACTATTAATAGCTTATGAAAATACTTTTGTTTTTACTAACTTTTTATGAATCTTTAAAATAGAGAAAATGATAAAAAAAAATGTGATTATACAAAATTGAACAAAAAATATACTTCGATAATAGTTTATTCTAAGAAATAGCCCTATTATTACTTAATAGGTTAAAAATATCCTTTTTCTAATTTTATTTTTTTAAAATACATTTTCTTGACAAAAATAATTTTCTTTTTGTTGAACCTGTGTTTAATAGATTGGTGAGCTGGCGGGAATTGCAGTTGGTTCGGCCGTATGTATTACTTCTATCTTGGCGGGGTAAGCCGGTACTGGTCTCAAATCTTGAATATAAAAATACGAGCACCAAACAAATAAATGCATAATTTGAAAAAAATAAAATCTTTTTATAAAAAATTCAAAGTTATTTGAATCAATTTTTATTTTTATATATTTAGTATGATTTAAGTTGTAATAATTGATTATCAATCATTTTACAAAGCTTAGCAATTAATATTGAGCCATTAATATTTACTTAAGAAATTAATTACTTATAATTACTTTATAAACGGACATGATCGTGTAAGATTAATGGTAGAACTTAACCTTTTAATACAATGTTTTTTTTCATTAATCAAGAGCCTTAAAGAAACATAAAAGAATTTTTTAAATATTGTCTTCTTTATCCCAATTTTTGTTATTTAAGAAAGAATGACACTTTTACTTTTAAAAATAGATTAACTTTGATTATTTTTTTCGGAACAAAAATTTTGAAAAATATATTTAATCTCTTATGAAATAATTTATAAACAACACAAACATTTATGAAATTAAACTACAAATTTCAAAACATTTTTTAAAATTTGTTTTTGTGCTCGATTGAAAAGCCTTCATAAAATTGGATAAATGGAGTATGAGAAATCAGTTTCGGTTACATAAATGTTTATATTGAATTTGTTGTAGGCCAGTGTCAGGAGGATCAATGAACCCAGCTAGAACCATTGGACCAGCAATGGCTAGCAATGATTACAGAGCAATATGGGTGTATATCATTGGTCCCGTTTGTGGAACATTACTTGGGGCATGGTCCTATAATTTCATCAAGGTTAATGATAAACCAGTACAAGCAATAGCACCCGGACACTCCTCATTTAAACTTAGAAGAATGAAGAGCAATCACGATGAAGAACAATGTGTAAACAAAGACCCTCTAAATGATTGAACTTCTTCCAATCCCATTTCACCCGTCTGTCTCAAAAACAATTTTGGTTTCTAATTTATTTTCTCATGTTTGATTAGTGACTCAAAATATTTTCCATTGTTTGGATGGTGAATGAGAAACATTTTCCAGAAAACATCTTTTATTTTTAGGTAAAGAATTTAAAATACTTTTTAGAAAAATAGTTTCTGACTCAAAAACAAACTCTGATAACTAATTCGGGACCTGATCCAACATTTGAACTAGGACATAACCCCATCGATCGATTTAGGACCCTCCATAGATACCCAATTACCCAAAACCTAACCTCAACTCCCGATTCGGTACCCGACATTCAAACTAGGACTCATCCGCGACATCCGAACTTGGACACAAGACCAAAGATTGATTTAGAATCCGACCCTGACACATGATTTGGGATCTAACCCCAATTCTCGATCGAGACCTGACATTTGATGTAGACCCAACCCTAATCCAAACACTGACACCTGATCCAATGACTGATTCGGGTCCCGATTACGACACCGAACCCGATACTCGATGCCAACTCAAGACCCAAAGCTAGCTCAAGATCCGATGCTAACTCGGAACCCAACACCCAAAAAAGTCCTGACACCTGAATTAATACCCTACTTTTGAACCAAAACCCGATTTAGAGTCAATTCCCTAAATGGTCACCCAAGTTTAGGTGAATTTCCTTGAAATATCATTTATGTTTCATTTAGGACCAAAATATAACTCAACTATCCTTATTTTCCTCCAAATATACTTGTCACTTCAAAAGTTTCACTCTCTCCTAGTTGGAATGCCATGTCATTGAAGCTTTTTTTTTTAAGAATAGACTTATTTAATTCATCAAACTCATTTAACTAAAATAATGATCTTATTATTTTCTAAAAAGTATATATTAGTTTATAAGAAGAAATTTTCATGCTTAAGAATCTTTTATCATAATTAATTTTTATTTTTTTATGCTATGAAGAATAGTTTTTTTAAGATTTACTATAATGTCATTAATTTTGAATACTTATAAACACATATATTCAAAATATATTGATATATAAATCACTCATGAATGTCAACTTACATCAATTAATCATATATTATATAATGGATCAATAATATTAACGGTCAATTAACTATTAAAAAAATAGTTAATTGGGCACTTTGAAATCCATACTTACAATATCTTTTTTTGAAAAGAAAATAGAAAGTGAATAATATTTATATTAGAAAATAAAATTTTGATCTTTATTTATCAATATATTAATCTCATATAATATGTATATTACTAAATTAAAATAGACAATTCAATTAATTATTACTTGTATTTCATGAATTTGGGATGATATATATATATATTGGTGTTTAATTGTATGATAAGTTAAAGTATGATATAATATAGCAATTAAAGAATAAAAATAAAAAAATAAAATTAAAAAAAAGTTAAATAATAATTTTCTTTTTCTTAATACTTTTATTTAAAAAATTGCTTAAAATTTTCAAATAATTTACTTAGGAATTTTGAAAATTACCAAGTAATAATTGCACACAAAGTCTTTTTCATTGAATTTTGTTTGGTAAAAAATATAAAGGAATTAGTTTTTTTAATTTTTTTTTGTAATCTTCATAAATGCTCATGTAATTTATATATTGTTATGTAGAGACATACGTTTGATGAATTAAATAGGTCTATTATTTTTTAAAATAATGTAATAACATGACATATCAACTAGAATAGAATGCGACTTTTGAAATATTTAGTATTTATTTATTATTAGATAAAAATAGTAATAATATTATTCACTTTTTATTTTTTTCAAGAAAAAAATATTGTAAGCATGAATTTCAAAATACACAATTAATTTTATTGTAATAGTTAATTGATATTTAATATTATTGATTCATTATAAAATTTATGATTACTTGATGTAAGTTAGCATTCATGAGTGATTTGTATATCAATATTTTTTTTGAATGTATATGTTTATAAGTATTCAAAATTGATTATATTATAGTACATTTTAAAAACCTTTTCTTCATAACATAAAAAAATAAAAAGTTTAATTATAATAAAAGATTCTTAAGTATGAAGATTTATTCTTAATAAACTAATATAAAAAAAATTATAATATGATCACTATTTTAGTTAAATGGGTTTAATGAATAAAATTAGTCTATTATTAATAAAAAACTTTAATGACATGTCATACCAACTAGGAGAGAGTGAGGCTTTTGAAGTGTCAAGTATATCTGGAGGAAAATAGTGATAGTTGAGTGATATTTTGGTCTTAAATGAAACATAAATGATTTTTCAAGGCAATTACCTAAACTTGGGTGACCATTTAGGGAATCGACTCCCTGATTTAGGACCCAAACCTGAAATTCGATTAGGGACCTTATTGTAACACCTAGAATTTTTTGAACTAAAATCTGAACCATCCTTTCTGGTGAGTAGGATTTTACCAAGGAATTCAAAATTTCTTAAGTATTAAGATCACTAGATATAGCACCTTGAGTTCCAACAAGAATTAAAGAGAATTCATTCAATTCCTAGGTTCTTCTAAGTTTTGGGTCAACTTAAAATGACCATAATCTTCATTAAATAATGAGTTATGTGACCCATAAGATATCCAATGAAAGGCCTTCGAATTATCTTTTCAACGCCACTGAGTTTGCTAAATTTTGAGCTCGTGTGAGAGAGATATGCCCGTTTGAAGACGGGTTGTCCAATTAAGGAAAGTTACCCAAAAATATGAGGGGTATTTTGGTGTTTTCCTTACCCAATTGGATTTAAGTGTTTTAGTAACGTTTTAGTAGTCTAAACTGATTAGAATTAGTTTCATTCATCCCCAAAAGCGTTTAGGATTTTAGAGAGAAGATTCAAGAGGAGAAAAAGTTCAAAGTTTCAAGCGTTCGTTCAAAAATTCAAGATTTCGCCAAGAACCTAGTTATTTGTGGTATGTAAGCTTCCATAGTGTTGGGTTTGTTCACCCAGACGCCAATAATGCATTTTTTTTTGCGAATCTATCCATAAATATTGAGCAATTTAATTTCTTGATGAGTTCTTGATAAGTGTTCTTGAAGTTTCCTTATCGATTAAGTTTTGATGTAAGATTCTACTTGAGTCAAGTTCAAAAAACCATATCTCTTAGAATATAAATAGTTACATGAGTCATAACCTACTAAATTAAAGGTATTTGAATCTACTTTCCAACGCCACCAATTTTGCGTTAATCCAATTTCTGAGTAAAAAGTTATGACTATTTTAGTAACCTATACAGTGTTGTTACAAATTTAGCCCACGGGAAAACATTAAAAGGGTTGTTTTTGTTTTTTTACCTCCAAGAAAACCCTAAACACATTTCTTGACAAATAAAAGGCTCAAAACAATATGATTTTCATCTTTTAATCCATTATTCTCTTCTATCTCAAACCCTAAGGAAAAACCCTAAGGAAAAATCAAAGTAGAAGACTCCATTCAAGATTCTTTCAATCTTTTACAAGATTCTTCTTCAAGGTAAGTCTTTTTCCAAGAATTCCAATTTTTTCAACTCAAATTCCTCCATACAATTATGAATCACTAATGAAAATCATAATTCTTGGCCATAGAGATTTCAAGAAACTAATTCAAGAATCTCAAGAAAGGTTTTCTTGATTGTTTACCTCAAGCTAGGGTTTCAAGGCTTCTAATCAAGTTCTTCTTCAAGATCCTTTCAAGATTCTTCAAGAACCTTGATTTTCCAGGTATGTAAGGCTATCATAGTGTTGGACTAGTTCGTCCTCACGCCCTCCATCTACTTTCAAATCAGTAAAAGAGCAATTCAAGATTCTTTCCTAGATTTGAGTATTCTTGAGATAAGTTGATTTGAGTTCTTGAGTTCATGGTTCTTTTAAAAATTATATTCCTAATTATTGAGTTTTAAACTGAGTTTTGAGGAAGTAAGTATGAGAATGAGAAGAGTCGTATACATGAGTTCTATATTATTATGTAGACCCTCGAGTCGAGTCGTTCATGCCCATAAATTCCGCATGAACTTCATAATTTGAATATCTTTGAGAGGAGTAGTATCTTCGAGTTCTAAGTCTTTGAGAATTGAGTTTCTAATCCTTTTGAGATTATATTCCTACTGATGGGACTACTACATGTTACTCATGAAGCCTTTGAGTTGAGTTGTTCATGACCATAAATCCGCATGAACCCTATGAGTCGAGCAGTCTAGAGATGAGTAGTATCATTGAGTCTTGAGTTCTGAATACTAAAGTTCTTTATTTCTATAAGATCCCAATGTTGAGTCGTTCATGTTCATAATTCCACATGAACCCTATGATTTGAGTTATAAATTTTAGAAAGCTTTTTAAAGCCAACACTTGAGTTCTTAAATTGAGTTTTGAGAAATTAAAGATGAGTTTTGAGAAAAGAGTTTTCTAAAATATGATTAGTATGAGAATCGAGTATGCCATCAATGTATGAGCAGTATGGTATCTAGATATACCATCAATGTTTATGCAGTATGACTTCCCGAGTCATCAATGATCACATTATAATATGATTTTGAAATATTTTTGAGAAAGAGTAGAGTTGAGTTCATGTTTTTAAAAATTATATATGGGAACTAAGTATTCCTAAGATTAAATGTTTTCACATTTAAGATGAGAGGAAACTGAGATTTTCAAAAGAGTTTTGAGCAGTTTGAGTACCATCTCTTTTAAGAGAAAGATTCTTTAGTAATAATTTCAAACCACTAAAAAATTTATGTTTTTAAACATATGAGCTAAGTATATTTTTAGGACTAGTATTGAGCACCGATATGGGGACGAGTTCAGATAACTCAAGTCTCCATAAACTATATAGCTAATGTGGATAGAAAGGGTCATACTTTTAGATGATTCCTTAATACTTTTTAGCATAGACTAGTGGATCCACTTAGTTGAGATGTTCTATACCCCAGCAAAGTATAGGACGGTTCTGGCAGCGTGGGTGAGACGATGTATTATCACATAGCTCATAGTGATGGTTGTCGGTTAGAGTAACTCCCACAAAGTTATATTGTATTTTTATATATCCAAACCAAGTTATTATTGTATTCTTCAATACATTGAGTTTCTATCTACTATTTTAAAATCTTTCCATAT